TGGATTTTTCTTTGACTGCCTTTAATCCCGACGCACTTTTATTGAAATAAATTTATTGCTATTCACCTATTATGTCAGTTGTTTGGCTTCAACACATGCAATCTAAGCCGTTTGTTTTATGCCATACCTTTCATGTCCAGAGATCTAACAGTCCCCCGAACATTCAAACAGCAGGTCAATTACAGTCCCAAAGGCGATCTCAAACAGGTGACACAACTTCTGGAACACCCGGCATCAATGAATCTACATCTCCACCTGTTAATTTCCGACTTAATGCTTTCAATCCTCGTTTTCAAATGTTTGACTTATTATTCGATCGATTTGGTCTTGCCTATTCTCGCCTCTTCCCTCCAATGGCTCGACGTATACTAGAATTTTTCACTTTAATTATGGTTAGTATGTCTCTGAAATACTTTGTTACGCGTTAGCCACTGCCTTATTCTCATTCCTATTTTTCAGGCATTTTCTGGTCTGGGAATACTTATATACATACATATAATGTTCGTCCGTTCACCTCCTACTTGCCTGGATCATCTTCGACCCGACGATTATTTGTCACAAAATCTTAAATCTTCTAGCCATGGACAATCTCCAGTGTCTTTTGGCTCTGATTTCATACCATCCATTTCAGATGAGGATTTAGAATCGGAGGGCAAAAGTAGAAAAGAAGAGGATAAAAAGCCTTTTGATTTTCTTTTTTTTCGTATGTTTAGAAGTGGCGGCCCCACGGATGATCCTAAGCCAGCACTTTCTACACAGCCTAATGGATTATCTGAAAAGCCAGTCGAAAAATGGCCTAGAGAAGGAGTACTTCGTGTGGAGGTCTTACGTAATGCCCCAGCTGATTATGATTTAGCTGCTTCATATGCTAAAGAGTTCGCGCATCGTGAGATAGACGAATCCTACTACTTAGAGTCATCTCCCGGCTCTTCAGAAAATTCAGAAACTTCATCCAATAATTTGAAGAGCGACTCACTCATCTCTAAACAGAGTATCATAAAGAAATCAAGAGAATCCTCTAGCGGACTACGCTCTTATCTTGAACAGGAGTATTACAAAATGCGCCATCGCCTTTCTTCACTTTTTTCTCTAACTTGGCATAATGCCGAAATTTCTGAAGAACAAGAAACCTTAGCTTCTGAGGAAGTATCCGTTGTAAATAGTGATGACAAGAAGGATAAAGAAAATACCTTTGTTGCTGTTATTTTGCTTCAATATCGTTTATGGATGCGTTTATGGGATTTCATCAAGCATACGTTTTGCAAACTTAGTGCCTTAACGAATCCAGGTTTGCTTATCTGTATTTTTTCTCATTCTTTCAATAGCAGTATTTGCTTCTGAGCCTTAGATAT